CTGATTTGAAATCCGAATGATGTAAAAAAATGTTTAATTTTTTTTCAGTCAGTTACTTCATCCAACATTGCATCGAGAAAATTTTATTCAGCTGCCAGAAAATTCAGTGATCAGCGTGAGACGAGTTTATCAAAAGGTTTTAATTGATTGCCTTTCATGCGCAAATGATAAAGTCTGGTGGATTTCCTAAAGAGTAAATATACATCCATTGTAAAAGTACAAAGCAAGGATGACAGGTGCTCTAGATATCCGCTTTCAAATGTGAAAAACTATGGCTTAATTAAACTGTTGTCAGATTCTATCAACAACTTCGTACGAGTTAAGTCACGCTAGACGGTAAGGCTTTGAAAATTTGTTTATACACGGAACTAGGCAGCGAGATCATGTTTCTAACTTTTTAGGTTAACATTTTCGCTCTTTCCACTGTGCGGCAATCGGACATATTTCACTTCCCGACGGCGAAAAAATGGCGCGATATTGAACCTTAATGTTTTGATAAAATTTGTCTCCTTTTCCGTACTTTTAATTACTGGGTGAAGTTAATGAGTCTGATGTACCAAACCTTCATTTAACTTTAAAGTTTACTTCCAATGAGGATAACTCTACGGCACTCAAACTTAAAGCCGGTGACACACCCAGCGATTTTATACGCCGATTGGTGTAAATCGCCAGGTGTGCCCGGTGCGGCGATTGCGATTTTCGCCGCGATCGGCATATAAAATCGCCGATATCTGGCATGTCAGACATAGGCGAGTAAATTCGCCGGCATTCGCTTAGACTGCCCGGTCCCGCGATTTTCTTCCCTTTCCAATGCGAGTCGACAGTAAAATTAACCAATCAAGTTGGGCGATATTATCACATGACCATTCAAGATGACGGAGAGTATCGAAAATTGTTTCTGAACCGAAGAAAAACAAATCAATTTGATCACACTGTGGTCAGAAAAGCCATCTTTACTTGATGTCGATTGACTACAGTAATCGTCCCAAAAAGGATTTTGCGTTTCAGTAAATCCATGACTTCGACCATGTTTTTCTCTTGTCCTACTTTTCAAAACGCTTCCTGGAGCACTTTAGTTGCAAAATTATGGCAGCAGCCGACAATTTTTTGCGCTTCGCTGTTACCATTTTGTTTGTCTACATTGGTTCGCGCAATTTTTATACGTCACCCGATGGAACCTGGGATGAAGGCTGAAGTGCCACATTGACGCGATTGGCGTATAAAATCGTCAGGTGTGTCGCCGGCCTAAAGTACACCGCAACCAAAGACTTCAATTAGCAATTAACTGTCAGATGTTCCCTAATTTTTGGCAATAATTATAACTTCCAATATTTGCACGTTAACTCTCAAATAAAGGTGTCAATTGCAGCAATAATGACACCATTGGAGTCTGAGGCGATTAGAGTCATTCTCGCTTTCGCAAAATGATGAACTCGCCTTTTAAATTTCATCGCCTACAGCAGTGAGTTTATCCTCTTATTGTACTCAATCGCTTGGCTTATTATTATGATGTTAAAAAAAGGTTGCACGGGGCTGTAAGCAGGTTACCAATGGGATAATTAGAATCGTTTCAAAAACTGATCAATACGCCTAATAAGGATGCCTTGTTGCATTTTGAAGTTGTGGTGTCTACCACTTAACGTCTACCACTTAGCGTACTCTACGCCCTCGACACGAGGCCGGGGTTCACAAAGTTTGATCGTTTAGAGTGGTGCTAGCCTGCAGTGCGGGCGTCTTATCAGGACGAGTTAACATTAGGAAGCTCGCGATTGTTTGTATTCTATATTCAACCGGCCGTGTTTGATTTGCCGGAGTCGACAGAAGGAAGTGATTTTCGTTTCGCGGAGAAACGTTACCGGAATATGACTTTTTTTTAATTGAGGGTACAGTTTTCCGTGTTTTACCCTCTAGCACTTCTTAGTGGTAAGTATCTTAAGTCTCCTAATAGTATCACCCCTGAAGACATTAAAGTTATGAGAATTAAGGAAATGATCGCGAACTCGAAAAGCGCTAAATTTTTGTACAAATACTTCTTGTAAGAATCGGGAAATGTATGGAGAATACACATACTGATGTTAAGGTTTGCGGGGTTAAAAGATGCCTATCAAAACATAATTAACGTATGATCTCAAAATAAACGCTCAGAAGAGAAGTGTTTGTGAAACAGAGCGGGTAAGGTAGAGGGAGAGTATTCTGTTTATTTAGCTTTTTTCTGTTATTTAGCTTCTCTCTTTTCGTTTATTAACCGACTGTTGTAGAGAGGCAAATTTGGTGATAAGGGTTCTCTATAGTGGACTTTGCCGATGGAAAGATGTAGCCATTTTTTAAAAAACGTGAAATAATGATAGTGATTGTGTGAACCTTCCGCCGGAACACACAAAATTAGTCGCTATTATCAAGAAGTGACCGTCAGTGACCTTGGAATTTCCGCTTCTTTAGAACTTATTGGCTTAGTAATCAAGTGCGTCCCCATAGTTTTAATGTTTTCACCTTTAATATGAGAAATTCTTTGTGAAATTACAAAAATCATCTTATAGAGAACAGTTCTCTCTTTTACGATATACTTTAAGACTCATCTCTCTGATGCACACTATGAATAATGCACAACATGTTCTGCGCGCCTGGATTGGTGGTTGTTGCCTTAAGGCTAGTTCAAAATATCATGCAAAAAAAAAAAAGGGAATTATCATTCAAGTGAAACTTGAAACTTGTGGGGAAAGAAATAGTTTCCATCTTCCGTCTTCTCTCTCCCAACAGATGAAATAAATAATAAATTCCTCGTCCCCTTCTCAAGTAAAATTTTGGAGAATCAGAAATTTGTTCACGATCCGCAGGAATTAGAACCGTCTTAAAGCTACCGAACTGTCCATGAAGAATGAAGAACAGTCTCCACAGTTCGATAACGTGTCTTTGGAACCAACTGCTTCCTCCTTAACTCCTTATTTCCATTACCGTCATGAAGAAACGGCAAACTAAACTGAAAAATTGAGAGAGAAATGAACGTACATTTCATTCCAAGTCAAGGGATAGTACTGACAGCAGCAGCTAATGAAATGACGGACGTTTGCTTTGCGAAGACATTTTCAAGCCTCTCGACTTTTATTCCATTTTAAACCAACGGAGTAAATTGCTCCCATATGGGGCCTGTGATAATTTTTGGTATTTTTAATGTATGTTAAACGGAGTGAAATAGCTCTTATCCTCACAGATCTCTGGTTGCGTTTACCGGTCTCATCGTCTTCTTTATACATGGGTATAACATCAGCTGTTTTCCATATGGTGGGAATAACGTTGCGGTTAGCGCTTCAAACGGAGACAGCTACGAAGAGATTATATCTGTATGGGCCGGCTTCGACAGTTTTGGTGCGACCTCATCAGGACCACAACCAGTATTGGACTAAAACATTTATCACAAGATGATTGTATATAATGTAAAAAAAAAAGAAAAAAAATCAACCGTTTGCTTTAAATTAGATAATGGAGAGGTAAGAATTCTGTAATTTTTGCAAGAATCGACATCCTCTGCAAGTAACTGAACTATCATCATAATATAAAGACTCAAGCGTTGTTATGTAATAAATGAATAATTGTTATATAAGAACTGAATGAGTGATATCCGTTCTCAGCTGTTGTGCTTAACAAGTAACTTCTCCCTGTAATATCCATACATTATCCAGCAAACATGTAATGAGAAAACTGAAAAGTATCAGGTAGAAGTTGTTATCATGATCTAAAACCAAATGCTTTGTAACTAATTTACACGGAAATGTTTAGCAGCTAGAAAGTAGAATTAACAGTTGCATATCTTCAGTAATGGATACACTAATTTTGAAAAAGTCATGAGGGTCTAGAATGACACAGAGAAAAACTAAAGGTCTATTATGTTGTCAAAAACAATCCATCAGTGGCTAATTACTCAACTAATTAGAACCAATTCTTGTGGGGTTTGTTAAATTTTTTGTTTGTCATGATGATAACAATAATATTTGTATCATTAATACATATACAGTATTATATAAACAGCTAACGGACAAGCTAATGTTTTGAGTTGTCATTGAGTTGCACCTAGACATTCTAAACGACTACCGAAGGACTGAAGTACGACTCCAAATACTACTGAAGATTTCGGTTTCCTGGAATCAAACATGGCCACTCAAGAAGGAAAAAGCTCAAAAATGAAGTTCTGGCCTCTCTGTAGAGTAAAAGGTTGGAGAATCAGAAATTTATTCAAGATTCGCAAGAATAATGTAACAAAACTAGCAGTGGAGAACACCGAGCCGTCTCTTCAGGAAGACAACTTGATTTCGGAACCAACTTTCGCTTCCTTGTCTCCTTTTTTCAATTATCATCCTGAAGACAGTGTATCACTAGACGGTCAAACTAAGAGAGAACTGCAGGAACATTTCATTTCTTGTCAAGGGATAGTATTGACAGCAGCTGCCAAAGAACTGACGGACGAAGAGTGGTGTTTGTTATACGAAGACGTTTTCAAGCCTCTCGACTTTAATTCCATTTTAAACCAACGGAGTAAATCGCTCCCGTCAGGGACCTGTGATAATTTTTGGTAGTTTTTGTGTGTGTTAAACGGAGTGAAATAGCTCTTCCCGCAGATCTCTTGTTCATACTGAGGTTTTTCTTTTTATGATGAAATAATTGACCTGGTTGATTGTGACTTGAAAAGCTGAATAGACTGAACATATAAGTATGTTATGCAATACTAACTAAAAAGGAATATGTAATCTTTTGTTGTGCAATCCATGAATGTTCAGGATCGATGTGAAAAAAGAATAGACTGTCTCCTTGCTACAGAAGATGATGGAGAATAATCAATCCGTTAGTTTCGCAGGAATCAACGCCCCCTTATAGTAACTCAGCTTTCCTTAACGACGAATTATGTTATGTGGTGACTCAACGATGTTTTGTAATAAATGAACGTATATTCTGTTGAAACTTAATGTGCGATCTCCACTTTTAACCGTTATTTACTTAAGGTCCAGACGATTATTGTCGAGTCCAATAACGGTTATCAAGATACATGACATACCCACCCACGATTTCCTCTGATTATACTGACTTTAAAAGTGTTCCAAGTTTTCCTCAAACTGTCTTGCACCCGTGTGGTGTAAAAAAATGTCTCAACACCAGACGGTGAGTTTACTCAACATAAAATAAGGGGAAAGGGGGCCAAAACTTCGGGGTGGAAGTTTCAGTTGACTCCATTAACTTACCAGGAGCACTAAGTAATGAAATACCAAGGTAGTTACGTTTATCGGTCTCCTCGTCTTCTTTGTACATAGGTATAACATCAGCTGTTTTCCATATGGTGGGAACAACCTTGCGGTTAGCGCTTTTAACGGATAGCAACGGAGGGATTATAACTGTATTGGCCGGCTTCTACAGTTTGGACTAGAACGTTTATCACAAGATGAATGTATAGAATGTAAAAAAAAAACAAAAAAACAACAAAAAAACAAAAATGAGTGATATCCGTTCTCAACTGTTATTTATCCTTCTACCCTTTAGTTCCCAGAGGTGATTAACATGTGACTTCTCCCTATAATATCCAAACATTATCCAGCAAACAGGTGATGAGAAAACTGAAACTTATCAGGCAGAAGTTGTTATCATGATCTAACACCAAATTCTTTCTAACTAATTTACACGAAAATGGTTAGCAGCTAGAGGGGAGAATTAACAGTTATTTATCTTAAGTAATGGATACAAGAATTTTCAAAAAAGTTATTTGGGTCTAGAATGACATAAAGAAAAAACTCAAAGTCTGTGATGTTGTCAAAAACAATCCATCAGTGGCTAATTACTCAACTAATTAGATCCAATTCTTGTGGGGTTTGTTGAATTTTTTTGTTTGTCATAGTGACAAAAATAATATTTGTATCATTATTATTAATACAGTATTATACATACAGCTAACAGACAGGCTGATGTTTTGAGTTTGTCATTGAGTTGCACTTAGACGTTCTACACGATTACCGAAGGACCGAAGCACGACTCCAAATACTACTGAAGATTTCGGTTTCCTGGAATCAAACATGGCCACTCAAAAAGGAAGGAGCTCAAAAATAACTCTTCCCGCAAATCTCTTGTTCATACTCATTAAGGTTTTTCTTTTTATGATGAAATAACTGACCAGGTTGATTGTGACTTGAAAAACGCAATACACTGAACATGAAAGTATGTTATGCAATACTAACTAAAATGGAATATATAATGTTTTGTTGTGTTATCCATGAATGTTCAGGAATGATGTGAAAAAAAGAATAGACTGTCTCCTTACTACAGAAGATAATGGAGAATAATCAATCTGTTAGTTTTGCAGGAATCAACTCCCCTTTACAGTAACTGAGCTTTCCTTGAAAACGAGTTATGTTATGCGATGACTCACTGATGTTATGTAATAAATGAAGGTATGTTCTGTGAAAACGAAATGTGATATCAACTTTTAACCGTTATTTACCGTAAGACGATTATTGTCGAGTCCAACAACGATTATCATGATACATGACAAACCCACCCACGATTTCCTCCGATGAAACTGACGCACAAAGTATTCCAAGTTTTCTCTAAACTGTCTTGCACAGGTGTGGTGTGAAAAAATTGTGTCGACACCAATCGGTGAGTTTACTCATAAACAATCAGAGAGGAGGCCACAGTGTCAGGGTTGGAAGTTTCAGTTGACTCCATCAATTTACCAGGAGCACTGAGTAATGAAATACCGCGGTAACTGCGTTTATCGGTCTCATCGTCTTCTTTGAACATGGTTATAACTTCAGCTGTTTTCCATTTGGTGGGAACAACGTTGCGTTTAGCGCTTTAAACGGAGTTAGGAAAGAAGGGAATATAGCTGTTTTGGCCGGCTTCGAAAGTTTGGACTAAAACGCTTATCACAAGATGAATGTATAGAATGTTAAAAGAAAAAGAAAAATATCAACCGTTTGCTTTAAATTAGATAATGGACAAGTAAGAATTCTGTAATTTTTCAAGAATCGACATCCTCTGCAAGTAACCGAACTCTCCTCATAACATAAAGACTCAAGCATTGTTATGTAATAAATGAATAAATGTTTTATAAGAACTAAAAGAGTGATATCCGTTCTCAGCTGTTATTAATTCTTCTACCCTTTAGTTCCCAGAGGTGATTAACATGTGACTTCTCCCTATAATATCCAAACATTATCCAGCAAACAGGTGATGAGAAAACTGAAACTTATCAGGCAGAAGTTGTTATCATGATCTAACACCAAAGTCTTTGTAACTAATTTACACGAAAATTTTTAGCAGCTAGAAGGTAAAATTAACAGTTATATCTCGTAAGTAATGGAAAGACGAATTTTGAAAATGTTATTAGTGTCTAGAATGGCACAAAGAAAACACCTAGGGTCTATTACATTGTCAAAAACAATCCATCAGTGGCTAATTACTCAACTAATTAGAACCAATTCTTGTGGGGTTTTTTAAAATTGTTGTTTGTCATAGTGATAACAATAATATTTGCATCAGCATTATATATATAGTATTATATAAACAGCTAACGGACAAGCTGATGTTTTTGAGTTTGTCATTGATTTGTACTTATACATTCTAAAGAACTACCGAAGGACCGAAGAACGACTCTAAATTCTACTGAAGATTTCGGTTTGCTGGAATCAAACATGGCCACTCAAGAAAGAAAAAGCTCAAAAATGAAGTTCTGGCCTCTTTGTAAAGTAAAAGGTTGGAGAATCAGAAATTCATTCAAGATTCGCAAGAATAAAGTAACAAAACTAGCACTGGAGAACACCGAGCCGTCTCCACAGGAAGATAACTTGATTTTGGAACCAACTTTCGCTTCCTTGTCTCCTTTTTTCAACTATCATCCTGAAAAGAGCGTATCGCTAGACGGTCGAACTAAGAGAGAACTGCAGGAACATTTCATTTATTGTCAAGGGATAGTATTGACGACAGCTGCTAAAGAACTGACGGACGAAAAGTGGTGTTTGTTATTCGAAGACATTTTCAAGCCTCTCGACTTTTATTACATTTTAAACCAACGGAGTAAATCGCTCCCTTCAGGGACCTGTGATAGTTTTTGGTAGTTTTTTTGTGTGTTGAAATAATTGACACACTTGGTTTTCATTTGGTTAACTGAATACTGTTATCATAGAAATGACAAAATAATGTTAGGGGTACTTTGATAATGCAACATGCGTAAGTATATTGTAAAAGGGATAAATCGTTCTACAGTAAATGTTGCACAGGTACCACACCCTTCAGAGGTCATGTTGTTGGCAGTTTACAGTAAGTGGTTTAATTTCTGTCAAATAAAATTTTTTGTGGAAGCTTAAAGTCAATAGTTCGTCGGAGCAAGTGTTAGTTTCGCCAGATAATCGACTGTTTGGGCAAGTCCGTGAATTTATGCAATTTACGGGTCTCAACACTAGAGACGCAAAGGTTCTCGCTTGAAATAAAAAATATACTATTAATTCAATGTTACAGCAAAAATAAGACTTCATTGTGGTTTCTAATATTTCAAATGATAAATAAACATTCATTATGCTCTACTTTGTCGCCTTGTTTTCTCCCTTGTCTCTCTTTCCTTTTTGGGCGGATAGAGTTAGGACTGGTACGAGAAAGAATAGGAAAAGGAGTTCGTTGCTTAGTAAAAGGAAAAATGAGTTAATACACGTACGAGCTGATAATTTTCTGATTTGTCAGATAACAAGGGCCTAATCTGTTGAGTTCGTATGGAATTAATACATGGCATAGATTTAATTCCTTGTTTTTTTTCCCCCAAGATTTCACGGCCTTTGTTTTTTAAATGTGATAGCAACATTGCCAAGCATTTGTGCTGACGATGTTTTTCAGTCTGGTCGCAGAACGAGTGTGTTTTAAGTTCGTTCTTTGGTTCCCTTATAAAGTAGTGTTATGAGGTTTAATTAATATTTCTCTATTTCTTGTTCTTTGGTTCCTTTTAAAATCATTTCTTTGATGTTGCCCTTTTCTAAGCTCATAAAACTAATATGCCAGCTTACCTCGCACTAATGTAATCAGTTTTTATTTGACAAAAAAATCACAAGGTTCCTTTGCAACAGAACATATCAATAACACAGTCTGAGTGTACACAATTAAAAACACTTCAAGTTAATTCAACCTTCCAAAAATTAATTAAGGCTGCTACATTATAAGAAAACGTTCTCCACATGGTTGCATGATCTATTATAGCTAGCGTGACTTGATTTGAGTTGATATTTAAGGCTAAATTCAAACACTATTTCTAGATTTTAAATTTTTTTATACATCTCCAACGATGCGCAAACCGGGAATGTGTGGAGTATACACAACAAATCCGGCAGCACTACAAGGCTCTACACATTGAAAGCTTTGCTTTGACCTCAGGTAAGGTAAGTTAAGGTGTTGCCACCCATAAGCACTAACTCAAAAATTTCTACTGTTATTTGATATCGCAATTTAATCCAAAAAAGACTACACTTTCGACAAGCCTTTTCCAGTTTAAGATTGTACGTGTTTGTAAAACAAGTTATCTTCATAAAAACGATTAAAATGGCCAAAGCACGGAAAGATGGCGCCTATCAAATCCATCAATAAAGTATTGTTCGCTGGGTGGCGGGAGGGCGTTCGATTCCCGATCCTTGTTTCTTGGACGGGACGTCGCAATGTTTCGGTTTGTTCCGTGGTATCGTAGTTCTAAGCAGAACAAATTAAAGAAAGGATGTATGAAACATTTTACATTTTACATTATAAACGTCTCAGAGGCTATACACATGAGTTATTGTGTTGGTGAAATTCATTGCGAGTAAGAGAGAGAGATGCATTTGGATTTATGCAGAAATAGATTAGTTTTTCAACAATACTTTCAACACCAAATCAGATTAATTAACATTTTAGCT